CGAATGGGGATGGGGGGCAATCAGTTTTGAATCTGAACCGATGCTCGGTGGGGCGCAATCCTCAGTTCCAGGGCGGCGCCGCGGGCCGCGATCCCTGTTCTCCACGCCGCCGCGGGACAGAGGCCGGGGGGAGGGCGACTCCGGAGCAGGCCCCCCCGCGGAAAGTTCTTCTCGACCCTCCCCGGCTGGCTAGACCAAGGGCACCCTCCCCCCCCCCACCCCCAGCCTGCAGAACCCCTGCGAGCAATCGCTGCCTCCCGGCCTGTCCGCGTTGCAACAACCACCCCGAGTTCAAAAGAAACGATAATCATCGCGTTACTTGCCTGGTGGGGCAGAGATGGGCCGCCTCTGGCTTCTGGCGCCCAAGACTTCCGGTCCAGGGTCCGAGGCAGGCCGGGGCCGAGAGCCGGGCGTCCAGGCGGGGGAGCCTCCGGTTCCCTGGCGCTCGCTTCGCGCTGCCTCTTGAACTCGCTCCTTTCTCTCCAAGTTCTCTTTTCCTTCTCCCGGTCTCCCTCTCTCTCTGCCTGCTTCCTCTGCCCTCGACTGCCTGCCTTTGTACTCTATGAGTAGGAACATTTAGAATTCATATGAGAAAACTCATTCTTTTGCTTCCTTCTTTCCTTTTTTTTTTTCTTTCCTTCCTTCCTTTTTTTTGGGGGGGGGGGTGGTTCTTTTAACCGTGTTCTCGTTTCACCTTTTAACTGACCAGGAGACTTGGGCGCGATTATTTGGGGAGACCAGAAAGGGCAAGGAGCCCTCGCCGATCCCCGGTCGCCTCCCCTGCAGCGTACAATGGGGAGGCTGCTTGCAGAGTGCATGGACTGTGTCCCTTCATTATTCGAACTGGAGGGGCTGCGGGGCGGCAGGGCAGGGGGTGCGCAAGACACGGAAAAACCTTTATTCTGCCCTTTCTCATCGTCGCTTGTCACTAAGCCGTCGCCGGGTTCCTGACTCTTAGTAGGACTGGAGAGAGACCGGGAAGCGCAAAACGCACCCCGAAGGCGCAGCGCTTCCCCCAAGCCCCCTCCCTGATGACATTTAAAGGGAGAAAGAGTATTAAAACACACAAACCCTACCTCCGGCAATAACAGCGTGGCCTTTTTTTTACTCCCACCTTCACCTGAGGGCGTGTGGAGGCTCGGGGGTGCTGGAGCTGAGACAAACTTTGACGCTCTCCGGAGTCGAGGGGCGGCGGGCAGGCGCGCAGCTCCGCACCCCCCGGCGGCAGCGGGCGGCTGCTTTGTCAGTCGGCGCCGCTGCGCGCCCGCCTGAGCCTGCCTCGGGGAGCGATCGCAGAACGAGGAGGTGGTGGGGTGGGGGGGGAAGATGCGAGTGTGCGATTGGAGAATATGTAACTAATAGAAGTATCATTTTCCCTCAGTACGATCTTTCAAGGAAGAAGGAGGAGGGAAAAAAAATCCATTGAAAGAATTTTCAAAGTGCTGTGTCTTGGTTTGCAGAAAAGGCACAGGGCTGCGTGCCGGGAGGAGGAGGCGGGGAGAAGGAGGGGACCCGACCGCGCGTCTCCGGGACGCGGCTCCCGTCCGCTAGGTGGCAGCCGGAGCCAGCGATTCCTGCAGGCCTCGCGGCGGGACCCGCTCCTCCCGCCCGGGCCTCCTCCGGCGACCAATCGCCTTTGGGAACGGGGGGTCTCTCCCCTCTTTCCCTCTCTCTGTCTGCCTCCCTCTGCCCCCTCCCTCTTCCCCTATCTCTCTCTCTCCCCGTCCTTTCTTCCCTCTCTCCCCCCTCCTCTCTCCTACCTTCCCCCTCTCCCATCCCCATCTGCATCCCTTCTCTCTCACCCTTTTCCCCCCCTTTTCCTGGGACTCGGACTCGGCCCGCACTGACCGCACCCCCCCTCCCCGCAGCAATATGAGAACTTACTACTCTTTTATTAACAATTATTGGAGCGTTCTTTGGAGGTTAGAACAGCCTGAGGATATCAAAAAAGGAAAGGAAAAAAAGAAGAAGGGAAAATCGGGGGTGGGGGGAGTTTATTTTAAACATCACCTTTGGGATGAAGAGGAACCATTGATTCGGACTGACTTGGGGGGCAATTTCTGCGAATTCCAGGAGTGCGTTTTGTCATAATTGAACCTTTCATTTCAAAACCAAAATATACGTTGGACCAAGGGGGAGAAAAAAAAAAAACTAGCGAGTCCCTACTTTGTTTCTTAAAGGAATAGAAAATGAGCAGAGTCTACTCTAGGGCTGTGCTTGTATGTGAAAAAACAAAACAATACAAAGCCAGAATATTTCAGGACTCGTTAGCACGGTAAGAGTTTTAATTCCCACTTAAAATTTCCCTAACATTTCCAGTGATCGTCTTCATGCTCATAAAAGCTAAATTTAAAAACTTTTCAGAAGAAAACAAAATAATGTCTGATTCTCTTTTTTACCCATTGCAAGGCATTCTTCCCCTCGCCATCCCTTCCCCCTCTGGTGTCGGTGTATGTGTGTGTGTGCGTGTGTGTGTGTGTGTGTGTGACCATAGACGACCCATACTAATCAGGTCTCAGAGTAAATAGCAGCGCAGGGCGATCTCAATGTAAATTGCGCTTGTCAGAAGCACACACCACCCGCCCCCCCCCCCCCAACCTTCTTTCCTCCTCCCCTCGCCATCCCCGTCAGTAGGTAGCTGAGAGGGAGGGGAAAGAAAAAAAAAGAAAGAAAGAAAAAGAGGAGGGGGGAGGGGCCCTCCAACCAATGGCGTGCGGGAGGCTTGGCTAACCTTAGCCTCCCATTTTCTCTCCCCCCGATTCAGGGCTCTGACCAGTCAGTCGCCTTTGATTATCAGTTGCCAGCAGCCCTTCTCTTGGCTCCTTGACACGAGCTCCATATAAGGCAGCGATCTCCATAGAAACGTGTCAGTTTCAATAGTAGTGTCAAAGTTCACTATATACAGACATTCGCACAGATCCCCCTTTCGGAAACACTGCTCTGCGAGTCCTCCCGTTTAAACGCATTCAATTTTGGGGTCTCTCTCTCTTCCCCCTCTCTCTCTCTCTCTCTCTCCTCCCTCTCTCTCCTCCGCCTCTCTCTCTCTCAATCTCTCTTTCTCTCTCTTCTCTCCCCTTTCTCTTACATATTCTATTAGTTGTTTCCCCGGATTCTTCCCTCTCTTCTTTTTCTCCCTCCTGGTCTCTTTACTCCATTCCTGCAGAAGAGTGAGGACTAAACTTAAAAAAAAAAAGGAGAGAGAGAGAAGGAGGAGGGAGCACCCCCTTCGTATTCTTCTTATCGTTATTTTATACATATATGATTTTTTTTTGGAGGGAGGGTGTTGGTTCCCGGCTGAAGAGCACTTATTTAAAATACTAAAAAAAGAACATTTTTGGGCGATCTCCAGGGTTTTTTTAACTAGCTCTGTGTGTTATAGCAGAAGAAGCAGAAGAAGGAGCAAGAAAGAGGAAAAGAAGAGGATTATTTATTCGACCTACTTTGGATGTCTCTCTCGCTTTTTTTTTTTTTTTTTTTGCGCAATTCTTTTTCTTCTGATTTTGATTTTTTCTGTTCCGCTGTGAATTCGTCGCCGGCGTGAATTATCTCGTGTTTTTCTCCCCCTCCGTCACCTCCCGAAAGAAGAAGGCAGCGAGAGCCCGGCGCCACCGGTACAACAAAAAGAGCAAAGTGTGTGATCCTCCTCGCTGGCTGCCTCCCGCTCTCCAGCGCTGCCTTCCTGAATGGCTGGCTGCGTCCGGCCCTGGACCTGGCCGCCCGACACCAGCGCGCCCTGATCGCCGCCGGCCGCCTCGCCTCGCGCCCGGCTCGGGCTCACCAGGCTCCCCTCAATCCCGAGCCCAGCGAGGGCTCCCGCCGGGACAGCGGCAGCGGCGGCGGCGGCGGCGGCGGCGGCGGCGCGGGCAGCCCCGATCCCCGGCTCGCGCTCCGACTGCGGCCCCGGCTCCAGCTCGGACTGCGGCCCGGGCCCCGGCTCCTCCAGCGGCGCTCGCCGCTGCAGCTGAGACAGCGGCTCCAGAGGCGCCTGCGGCCGCGACCTCCTCCTTCGCCGCCGCCGCCGCCGCCGCCGCCCTCGCCGGCTTCCTCTATGTCTGCTCTGCGGGCGCGCAGCGCGTAGCCCGAGCGGCCGGTCGGCCGGCGGGCGGGCAGGCGCCCGGCGCGGGTGAGCGAGTGTGTGTGCGAGTGTGTGTGCGTGTGTGTGTGTGCGTGGGGGTGCGGGCAAGGCGGAGGGTGAGTGTGTGCGCGCGCCGTGGCCCATGCCCGCCGCCCCCGGCGCTGCGCCCCGCGCCGCTCCCGGCTGCCGCCTGTGCCATTTCTGATTTTGCAACTTGGGGGAAGAAGAAAAAAGCGAGAGAAGGGAGCTTGCTCGCTGGGGGGGGGTGGGGAGGGGGGGGAAGGAGAGCGGGCCCCCCCAAGATCGGAGCGCGGGGGGGAGCGGGCGAGGGGAGCAGGGGTGTTGGGGGGGGAGCCTGAGAGCCTGGGGGGGCTGCAAAAAGAGAGAAAGAAAACAGCAGGAACCACAACAAAACGCCAGCAGGGCGGGCGGGCGCGCAGCAGCAGCAGCGGGGCGGCCGAGGCAGTAGCGGCGGCGGCGGCGGCGGCGGCGGCGGCGGAGGCAGCAGCCGGTGCCCGGCTCGGGCTCGGCTCCCGCGACCCCGGGGCGCCGGGCGGGCCCCCCGCCCCCGCCCCCTCCCCCTTCCCCTTCCCCTTCCCCTCCCAGCGCGCCCGCGCGCCCCGCGGCCCTCGGCGAGCAGCTCGGCTCCCCCCCAGCGCTCCCCGGGCCCAAAGATATGGCAATGGTAGTTAGCAGCTGGCGAGATCCGCAGGACGACGTGGCCGGGGGCAACCCCGGCGGCCCCAACCCCGCAGCGCAGGCGGCCCGCGGCGGCGGCGGCGGCGCCGGCGAGCAGCAGCAGCAGCAGGCGGGCTCGGGCGCGCCGCACACGCCGCAGACCCCGGGCCAGCCCGGAGCGCCCGCCACCCCCGGCACGGCAGGGGACAAGGGCCAGGGCCCGCCCGGCTCGGGCCAGAGCCAGCAGCACATCGAGTGCGTGGTGTGCGGGGACAAGTCCAGCGGCAAGCACTACGGCCAGTTCACCTGCGAGGGCTGCAAAAGTTTCTTCAAGAGGAGCGTCCGCAGGAACTTAACTTACACATGCCGTGCCAACAGGAACTGTCCCATCGACCAGCACCACCGCAACCAGTGCCAGTACTGCCGCCTCAAGAAGTGCCTCAAAGTGGGCATGAGGCGGGAAGGTGAATATTTCTTCCGTGCTTTTTCTCCCGGAGCCTCGCCCGCCTCCCCGGCCCTCTCTCTCTCTCTCTCTCTCTCCCCCTCTCTCGCGGGGGTGGCTGCTGTCTGGGGCTGGGGCTCCTGCGGTCCCGGCCCGTCCCAGCTCCCCCCGGTCCCCGCTGCTTTCCTCCCCCGGCGTCTCCCCCACCCCACCCCCTACCCCCCACCCCAGCTCGCTGCCGCTGTCTCCCCCTCCCGGCCTGCGCTCGTCTCCCCGGCTTCTCCACCCCGCCCGCTGCCTGCTCGGGACGGTGCCCCTAGGATCGTGAGCTGTGCTGGAAAATCCCCTCCCTCTGTCTTGGATGTGCTCGGTGTGTGTCTCCTTCCCGCGTGTGCGTGAGGATGCTCAGAGCTGTGCTGGCATGAACTTGGGGGAGGGCTGCTTACTGCCCCCAGAAAACTCTGTTTCTTTGGTTTGTGTGTTTTTGTTCTTTTTCATTCCCCTTTCCTCTCCACGTCTTCATTGCCCTTTATTTAAGATGGGGGAGGGCTGGAGGAGACTGGAGGATTCTGAACCATAGATCCCTGACTGCATCATCCTTTTGGAAGCTTAGCTTGGAAAAAGAGGAGTGAGATTTATTGCACTTGTAGGTCTAATTAGGAGGGAAAGGGGGGGGGGGCGCTTCTGGCCTGTTCACTGGTTCCCTCTCCTCTCCACCGAGCTGGGGCCGCCTCCTCCAGAGCTGTGGCCTTGTTTTCACCCCTCTACTTTCAAAGGAAAGTTTGTGACTGAACCGTGCTTTCATAGTTGTGTCATTTTTTTTTAAAAGCATGATACTCGTTTTATTTCTTCATCAAACTCCACCCTCTGTTTAAATACTGCATACAAATTACAATTTACAACGGCATTTACCGATCCTTCTGATTTGGCTATAATGCATAGACTGCAGCTGGCATGAGCTTCAACATCATTTAATCCCTGTGTTGTATGGCTTTGGTTTCTTTTAACACAAGTTTTGATGTTGTATTTAGATATGCTTCATGTTCATGTGGCAAGAAATGCAGCACTTTTCTTATAAATATATCTAGCCATTTACAGTTAAAGTTTATCTCCTGACAATCATTAAAGATGTCTTATAGTCAAATTAGCAAACCAGTCAATTTTGCAGAATGCAGATTACTCCTTCTTGTAATTGACTTTAAAATTATATTTTATATGCCACAAGAAAAGAAATTGAATTTCTTCAGATCTCAAAGAGCAGGCAAATATGACGACTTCATTTCTAGCTCCAGGGAGATTTTATAGGCATCTGAAGAAAAAAAAAAAAACTTTGAATTGTACTCTCATTTAATTGAAAAATAACTGCCAAGTTCAAAACTATAATTAGAAAAAAGTATTCTAGCCAGTTATGTTTTAAGAGCTTAAATTGCATTGAGGCTTGCATTAAAATGAGAATCAGTGCAAACTTAAGGAAATAGTGTACAACCTGAAGTAAGAAAGCTACGTGTACATGGACATATCTATATTAATTTGTTGTGGGGGGAGAGTTCAGTAGCCCTAACTTTTCCTAAAGTTGTCTTTGTTTACATGGCAATTTAAAACGCTGGCACTGTTGAAGTAAAACATACACATAAAAAAAAAAAAAACTTTGGTCAGCTTTAAGAACTCAAAGCATGCTTACGTTTTGCATTCAGATGGTTAATGAATCCAGTGTTTTTGCAGTTGCAAGCTCGTGCATTCACTGGGCAAAAGCTGGCTGCAGGTTGCTGTGGCACCTCACAGGACAGACATTAATTATATTTTCCACTTTTTTCCATAATGTTTGGCTACTGTAAGTTCAACTTCTTTCTTGATTTTTTTTTTTCAATTTTCTGTTGCTCTTAACAGTGAGAACTTTGTGTGGGGCGATGGGGAGGAGGGGATGGGGAGGGGTGCAGGATACTTGTTTTCTATTCAAAAGTTGTAAGTGGTGAGTAGGGTATGTAACTTCTGTCTATTTTAAGGATAATCCCATAGCATTTTTAGAGAATATGGAAATATTTTGAACAAAACCTGCTTGCTTGTAAATGAAGAGGCAGCTAGGCATGTGCCTAGAACCACAACCTTTTCTCTGGTTTCGCCTGTTTTTTTGTTTTGTTTTACCCTGATTGGGTTCCTTCTGGAGGGGTGAGTGGGATGTCATTAATCCTCGTGTGACCTGGTGGTGGTCGAGGGGTTGGGGTGCACTTTCTCCGTCAGGCTGGGCTGGGGGGGAGCCCTTAACTCAGGCCTAGTTCTGGCCGGGTCTGGGGTGGCCAGGAGCGCCCGAGATGGCCGGGCAGACCGAGCCACGGAGCTGGAGGGTGTGGGCCGGGAGTGAAGGCCAGCGCCAAGGAAGATGCTCCGGGCGCTGGGGGCCGCGGGGACAAGCCTCCGCTTTGTCGGTGCGCTGCGGGGCGGCCCGGGCTGTTCGCAAGCCCCCTGGATGCACATTGCCTCTTTTCTCTCTTTCTTTTTGTCAGCGGTTCAGCGAGGAAGAATGCCTCCCACTCAACCCAATCCAGGCCAGTACGCACTCACCAACGGGGACCCCCTCAACGGCCACTGCTACCTGTCCGGCTACATCTCGCTGCTGCTGCGCGCGGAGCCCTACCCCACGTCGCGTTACGGCAGCCAGTGCATGCAGCCCAACAACATCATGGGCATCGAGAACATCTGCGAGCTGGCCGCGCGCCTGCTCTTCAGCGCCGTCGAGTGGGCCCGCAACATCCCCTTCTTCCCGGATCTGCAGATCACCGACCAGGTGTCCCTGCTCCGCCTGACCTGGAGCGAGCTGTTCGTGCTCAACGCAGCCCAGTGCTCCATGCCGCTGCACGTGGCGCCGCTGCTGGCCGCCGCCGGCCTGCACGCCTCGCCCATGTCCGCCGACCGCGTCGTGGCCTTCATGGACCACATCCGCATCTTCCAGGAGCAGGTGGAGAAGCTCAAGGCGCTGCACGTCGACTCGGCCGAGTACAGCTGCCTCAAAGCCATCGTGCTGTTCACGTCAGGTGAGGCTGCGGCCGCTGGGAGGGCCAGGCCGGCGCCGGGAGCGCCCGCCCGCCGGCCCCGCGCCGCGCCGCGGCTCTCGGGGCTGCCCGGGCCCTCGTCGGTCCGCGGGAGGCCGGGCCGGGCCCGAGCCCTGCGGTGCCCGCGCGGGGGAAGCGGCCGGCGGCGCCGCTGCCATCTTGGGAGCGCGGCGGTGCGGGAGGCGAGTCGGCGCGGCTACGGGCCGCTCGGTGGCCCGGCCCGGCCCGGTCCGGCGGCCTGGAGCCCCGCGCGGGGCCGCGGCGGCTGCGGGCGCGTGTCTGGCCGGTTTGCGGGGGGGTGGCGGGGAGGCGGTGCCGTGGATCCGTCTGGCTGCGCGCGTGTGTGCGGTGTGGATGTGTGTGTGCGCGCGTGTGTGCCGGAGCTCGGCGTTTCTGGGGGAGGAGAGGGAAGGAACGGAACGTGGGAACGTGGCTTTCTCCTCTGCGTGGCACGCTCCCTGGCTGTTTCCCGACACAGTGAGACACACACACACGGAGAGGTGGCAAGAGAAGAATCCGCGCAAATAAATCATAAATAATCCCGCTTTATGGCTGCCTGATTTTCCCTTATCGGAAACCATTCATGTTTGCAGTTGCTGAGGTTATTGAGGGTCGTAAAAAACGGATTCGATCTAAACAAGAAAGATAAAAAACAAAAGCAATGCCGGAGAACCCGCAAGTATGCGAGGATTCCCGCCCGGGAGATAAATCTCATAGCCCATGCGAAGCGCACGAACGCTGAAAATTTAACAGAGTGCCTTAAAAATATCAAATTAAATGTAGGCAGTGGTAACATGCATGTTAACAATTTCTCTTATGATAGATGGTTCAAATTAACTTCCAGGAAAGTGCATTAGCGTAGCCTTTGAAGGCTCTCGTCTGAGCCTCTGAGAACACTGCCCCCCTTTTATTATTGTAACCTGCGAGAGGGAAACATATAAACACCCAGGACAGCAGGTAATGGGGGGAAATATAAACAAAGCCAGAAAGGACGCTGGTGGGGAACAGAGTTGCTCAGACTGGGTCTCTGGCCTTGCCCACTGTGAGTAGAGTTAGCTGCCGTTTTTACCACCATTATTGGCGCTATTGTTTTTAATTCCTCCAATTCAGAGAACAAATAAACCATCCTAATAAATCTATCCTAGAGCCAGGACCTCCAAAGGCCAAATTAGAACCATTCTTGAGCAGGGATGGCAAAACCCCTCTCCCAAGGCCTTGCTGAACAGTAAGCAGTGGTATAATCTATCAATATTTCCTGGCTTTCATGCGTGAAGAATCGTATTTACATTGTATTAAAATGACTCTTAAATTTGCACAATATTGTAATGTAGCAAATGTAGTATTAATATCGATCTGAACAGCAGATAATTTATTTAGACAAGAGCATCTCATTTGTATGCAGGGTGGCCCGAGCCGTGGACTTGGACTGCCCCCCTTTTACTTTCAGTGCAAATGCAGGTCTGCTAGTGGGAGAGGGAGTTATTCTTTGCAAGAGGATAAAGTGAGAACCTTAAAACAAATGGAAGATTTATTGAATCGCCTCCTCGGTGTTTGAATGCATTTTATCTTAATAAGTCTTCTTGATGGAAACGTGTTTTTCAGAAGTGACAAAGAGCCTGGGAAGTAGCGACCCGGCTGCTTTAGTTCTGGCAGGCCTAGGGCCTGGCTGGCTCTCCACTACCCAGCTCTTTAGCCAAATTAATCAGGAAGCAAGCCAGTGTCGGGGAAGCTGGGGTTTTAAAATCTCACCCAGTGAGGTGTCTTGAAGCAGAAATGTGACTTGGAGCTGGACAGAGGTCTTCTCAAGCAAAGTACCCCTCCCTTTTCCTTGTCCCCCGCTAAGGTTCTTTGAACCCCCTTGACTTTTCTGATCTCCTGCCCTTTCCCAGAGAGAGGCAAGGACCGTGCAGGCTGCAGGGAAGATTGTGGAATTATTCATGCTTTTCTTTCAACTTTCCATCCTAAAATGTCCCTGTGAAAAGTCTTCCTTTAAAAAAAAAAGTTTTCCCAAAGCCATTTCTTAAACCAAGTCTTCAAGGTGCAAGAGAGGCCAAGAAGTGAACAATGACATTATTTTGTTGGAAAAATTGCAAGAAGACTATCTGAAAATGGAAATAGAGCTGTCAGTAGTAATTCACCCCCCTCCTCCATATAACACATTTCCACTTTTGACTAAACTTGTTTTGATTGCTAGCCAGAAGGGAATTCATGGGAAGCCTTCTCAAAGTCATCCAACTTTTAAGCAAACTTTGAATGATGGAAAAGACAGTTTTAGACATATTGTCCAACGAGGTTTGCTCCGGCTAAGTATTTGAAGCTGGCACGGGGGTTCCCTGTGGTGGTTTTCACATTTGGCCTCCGGATGGTATGTTTAATCCTTAATATTCTGGAAGGCATCCAAGGACTAGGTCATGACCTGAACTTACTTTTTTTAAAAAAAATTCATTAATTCATACACCTAAATATTCTCTCAAATAAATGAGACTTTCCCTGAAAGGAGCCATCTAGTTAACATAAATACAATAAATCCATTTTCAGCACAATAATAACTTTGATTTCTAGTTATGGCAGCTGATTACATCTATATTTCCTGAACACTAAACTCTTCTGAATGCACAACATGAAATACATTCTCTGCACTACAAAGGCTAGGCTGGGGAGGCCTGAGCGGTAATGGTTATTTATTCATATAATTTCTTTTCCATACACTGTAGAAGAAATATCGAGGGTTCCCACATTGACACTCCCATATAAAAAGCGAGACATGGATTTTGCACATTCTGCCTCCTTTCCTTATCTGGGGTATAACTCACGGAGTGTAAACATATACTGGATCTCACCCCCTGCTCACCTAGTTTTGCTACCACAACCACCTACTTGGTCTGAGAGCTCACACTTGTCACTCCACAGTTGGGGGAATCCTGTGGCAGAAATATCTGGAGTAGGAATGAATATCTAGAGTGGGAAGCCGGGCCCAGCCTAGGGCTCCTGCCCCGGAGGAGGCCACAGTGCTGGCTGGCTGGCACTTCGAAGCAGGGGCCCAGCTACAGGTATCCTGCCTTCAAAGCAGGAAAGAACTCCGACAAGGAAGCCAATGCAGGGCCCTGGAATGCCTTTCTAACTCCCCTGGAGTTGCCTAGCTGGGGGACCTTGCACGCTGGGGGCCCTAAGTGTAAATATCAGATACACACTTTACAGATCCGAAGAGATGCCATGTGGGTCTTTAAAAAAAAAAAAAAAAAAGAATCTGCTGGGGTGCCAGTGAGTCTCTTGCATGCTGCATTCTCTGAGGCTGAGTGGGATCCTGTGCCATAAGGGGCAGATAAAGCCTGTGAAGCAAGATATATGTAAATATGAGTCTGCCCAGGGGTCATAGAGCAGGATCAGGTTAGCCTGCAGAGCCAAGGGCAGACCTCAGGGTCCCCTCTCCAAGCACTGAAGCACCAAAGTGCTCCTGCCCCTAGCCTGCTAGCCATAAAATCTCCCTGACTTCCCAAGTCAGGCTAGTGTGGATGCACCCGAATGGCTGGCTAGAGTCATTAGACATCTGAGAGGAACCCAATCTGGATCCGGGGTCAAAGGAGACCTGCCTCAGAAGTTCTTGAATTATCACTAGTTTTATTTGTATTTTTGCTCAAGGCCATAGCCTTGTAGATGAAGGTGTTAGAATGCTTTGTAAGTCCCAGTTCTTGAAATAGAGACATACAGCTCAAGAAACTCAGCAGACACAGGTTCTGCTTTGAATCATTCGCTGTGTCTTCTTTAGGTTACCCTTGCCCCTTCACAATTAGACGGTATCCTTTGGGGGGCGGGCATCGCCATGCATGCATTTCTTCCCAGATCTATCTATATATTAGCAAACTCCGCCTTTGATCTCTAGTCAACCTCCTGACTGGCTAAGGGTTCCTCTGTGATCTTCCTGTTTTTTAAAATATTTATTATTAATACAAGAAACAACATGGGTGTTTGAACTAGGAGAAGAAGCCTTCGCTTCCTCTGATTCCACCTTCCCCTCCACTGGCTTGCCTCTAGTTAGTTGATACAGTATAAGCTGCTGTATCGAAATATTTTTAGTAGACCAAGAAGAGCCCCTGGTTGACATGAGATTAAACACACAGGTTTTCAGACATTTTCTTGCATATAGGTGCATTTTTCTCTCTTAGTCCTGCGACAGGAAGCCTGTCTCCCCAAATCCTCCTTCAACCCCCACCTCCCAGTTCTCAAGCAGCAGCAGCAGCTGCTGCCCCCAGCCCAGCTTTGTGTCTGATAGCGGAAGTTGTCTCCTTTCTGCAGCCTGGAGTAACTAAGCCATATTCCTTTTGATTATTATACAGCGTACAGAGATGTGACCAGTTTTCAATTACTTGATCTAAGGCACCGATAGAAGTGTTCACCCTCACCAAGGATTTGCTGCAGACTTCTTGCTTGCATAGATAGTGGACCGCAAATCCTATCTTGCTAAAGCCTGGGCTTGATCTGATTGCAGGCACTGCCAGCCTCCGACTCCTTAGCCCCCCCCCCCCCCAATGCTCTGTGCATCACACAATCTAGGTTCTCCTGCTGGGGGTCGTTTGGGTTTGAGAGAGGGACTCCCAAGAAGTGTTTTAGAGCCGCCTCCCGGCTGCATATTTTTTCAGGGCTCCTGGACACCCCTAAAATCCGGGGCAAAGGGGGCAGAAGTCCTTCCTTTAATGAGCACAGTGGAAAAGATGCTCCCCTGCAGGCGGAGGCCAGGTTGCTCCGCACGGCAAACATGGCTCCAGCATCGTACATTATTTAACCCAAAGGTGAAAGAGGAAACACAAAGGAACTAGACAGTGTGTGTCTGCAAAGTGTGCGCTCCACTCTTCAGCTCCCCTGAGCTCGGTGGGGGTTTGATTTATATTTTTATTGCTCTTGGGGGCGGGGCGGGGGGGTTAGGAAATAGGGAAGAAGGAGTAGGGAGCCACGGGGAGGATTTTTTTCTTTTGCCTGCAATTTGTTTTTTTTTTCCCCCTTTGCTTATTTTTAAAAAAAAGTGGAATGGCGTGTTGCTTGTGACCTTGCTGGTGGCTGACCTAACCGTGTGCCCCCTCCCCTGGTCTCTCCTTGCGGTGGCCGCGCGGGCAGATGCGTGTGGCCTGTCGGATGCGGCCCACATCGAAAGCCTGCAAGAGAAGTCGCAGTGCGCGCTGGAGGAGTACGTGAGGAGCCAGTACCCTAACCAGCCCAGCCGCTTCGGCAAACTGCTGCTGCGGCTGCCCTCGCTGCGCACCGTGTCGTCCTCGGTCATCGAGCAGCTCTTCTTCGTCCGTTTGGTAGGTAAAACCCCCATCGAAACTCTCATCCGCGACATGCTACTATCCGGGAGCAGCTTCAACTGGCCTTACATGTCCATCCAGTGCTCCTAGACCTTGGGCGCTTCCCACCTGCCCCCAGCTCCTAGAGACTCACAGCACCGGCGGGGCGCCGTGGACTCCAAAGCCGCGGAGGCACCAGGCGGCCGATGCAGGGTGCGGCGGGGCCGGGCAGGGGGGAGGAGGGCCGGGGGGCGACAGGAGCCGCCCACCGCGCAGACAGGCAAACCGAAGCTGCAAACCTGGAGGAAAAAAAAAAAAGACTCTTTTTAGTATCAGATCCGGGAACACGTTGGAAAGGAAAGAAAACAGGCCCTTGTGTCTGGTGAGAAAAAGAAAACTAATTTGGGAAGAGAGGACCATGAAAATTTTAATAAAACAGAAGGAAACCAATGGACCTTCCAGGATTTATTGTGGACGGTTGTGGATATATACTGTACAGAAAACAACACCCATGGAAGTGGACCGAATCCTATGTAGAAACAGACACACACAGACACACACACCACACACACACAGACATTGTTATTCATTTTGTAAAATACTAGTCTTTATTTTCATTTTTTTGTAAAATTTAAACATCGTATGCACATAAAAAAAAAAGAAACAAGAATTAGGGGAAAATAACATTTTCCAAATAATTATAAAAAAAATTGTCCTGTGTCTATGTATCTATATCTGTTTTGTATTTTTTTCTGGTTCCAAACCAGATTTCCTGTGATTCTATACTAATAATTTTTGATATAACCCTTTGCTTCTTATAATGAGTGCGATATATGTTGTCGAGGCTGTTCTTCAAGAATTAAAATCGAAGTGAAAATTTAAACAAAAAATAAAAAGAATTTAGCAAAACCCACGTGTCTGGTTGCTTGACAGATGTCATCAGTGCAAGAGAACCCTCCAATTAATTTCCACTCCAATTATTATTAGAATGGGGGGGGAGAAACTTTAAGGTCCATTACCAAGTAGGCTAGATTTATTTCCTAAAACCAAGCAGCTGCTTTGGGATTGTAAATGTAGAGGACCAGGCTCTGCGTGGGACAGAGTGGGCAGGGAGAGCAGCCTTTGGTGCGGGTGCGGGCAGCAGCCATCGTGACCTTGTAGGTGGTGGACAGCCAGCTCCCAGCGGGCTGGGAGGCTGGGACAGATCTGGTCCCCATAGGATCGAGTCTCTGCCGCCACCTTCAGCCTCTGCAGGTGGGAACGTGCCTGGCTGGAGAGGCATGGGACCCTGGATATAGGGGTTTCAGGATGGAAAGATGCCTCTGCACTTGGCTGTGACTACAGGGTCAGCCTCTTCCTAGCTCTTCTCTAGAGAGAAGTGGGGTCTCAGCTGGGAGCCCTGGCTTTGCTCCCCGTATGGTTTGCTAAAGAGCTGGCTATGCTTTGCCCGTCACTCCAGACCCTGTGACAGGGGTTCCCTGGAGGGCCCTCCAAGCTCCACTGGGCATCTGGAAGGGCCCCCTGTGGCACTTAGATGTGTGGATCTGGAACCTGGGGGTCCGGGAACTGGACTGGAGTAGCTGATTTTTTCAAGAAGCTGCATTGGAGTCCTAGTGGTCTTTTCAGGGCAGAAACCTCCTGCTGAGGCCTCTCCTTGGGAGGTGAGGGAGGGTGTTCTCTGTAACAGCTTTCAGAGCACGAATGTTTTTATAGGATCCGAGTTGGCACTGCAAGAACACACATAGCCAAGGGAGCTTTTTCTTAATGTATTAATAAAGCCAGGTCTTTTAAAATAACACCTTTTGGCTTCTCCCCTCACCTTCTCCCCCAGCCCCAAACAGCCATGGATGAGGCCAAAGCTATACTTTCAGAAGTCAGTGGCAAAGTTCGCTCTCAATTCGCTGTCTAGAAGTCTCCAGGTGGCTCCAGTCTACCTAAAGTTTTAATATTCCGGGTGCGGTGCAGCCTGGCACCACTTTCTGTGAAGAAGCCCCTTCAGGTCCACCTGTGGACTGGCCTGAGCCCTGGGACAGTTAGACTGATGAGGTGTGTGGGGTGTGGAAAGCCCCCCTTGGGCCACTGGGCCCCTCCTGCCTTCCTGCAGGTCCCACCCAGCTCTGGGCCTTATCCTTTGCACCATACCCAGGGACAATGTTTTGGGGGCCTAGGCTGAATTGTTTACAGGTTGGGCACCCAAGGCAGGAGGGGTGTGGGAAGAACTCACATTCAACTGTGGACCACCTCCCAGGAAGTCTCAGGGGGCCTTCCTAGGGGCACTGCTGGGGGCGGGGGAGGGGAGCTGAGCTGCCTCCAAGCTCTCACCCATCTTCCCTGCCTTTCTTGAAATGAGATGTAAATATATTCATTACAGTGTGATCCCTCTGATGAAAACAGATAAACATTTTCCTAGGTCAGAAACATATTTTTCAATTAATTTCAATATGGAGGTACAAGGCACCCAGTGTGGGACTGGTTCGGGAAACCAAGGTCCGGGTGTAGGAAGCACTTGCTCCAGGGGGCCCGGGGGTGACAGTACTAACTTGGCTCTTGCTGGACAGGGCCAGGAACATTGCCTACAGCCAGGGGGATCCCAGTGACCTTTCTAAATAACCCTGGGCCTAAACTGGGCGGGGGCGGGTGGGCAGAGGACCAGCACAGCAAAGGAAAAAAGCTGGCCTTCCTGGGGTCTCAAAGAGCCCCTCACAGGCTTGGTCTAGGAACCTGGAGGCTCCGGGGGCTCCGCTCGGTTCTCAAGCAGCCCCGCCTGGGGGCTGCAGGTAGGGGGTTTCGATCTGCCGTCTCCTGGGTGGCTGGGGTGGTCCCCGCCTGCATTAGACACACGGAGACATCTTAAGAGGTCTCTGTATCTCAACCAGAGACATAGAGCCTCCTGGGGACTCCGGGGTCCTGTGGGCGACCCCACCCCACTGCCGCAGAGCCGGACAGGGGGTGCGCAGTCCGCTCCTTGAGGCTTTCAACTCTCGGGGCGCGCGTGGTCCAGCCGCACGAACCTGCTCGCAGTGAGGGAAGGTTTAGGAATTGAGACGGAGGCATCTAAGCCACTGCCTGAGGCTTCCGACGACCAGGAAGCCTTGTCTCTGCTCCCATCCTTGGCCCAGCTGACCAGTGGCCGGCGGGGGGCGGGGGTTTCGGGGAGTTGTTAGGGGATGCGGGGTGGGGGGTGGGGAGGTAAGGGCCGGTCGCCCCCCGGGGGAGCAGCCCAAGAAAGGCCGGGGTGGCCTTGCCCTGGATCCTGGACGTCCTCAGACACTGGGAGCCGCTGGGCAGAAGGTCTCCTGGACCGGGGGCGTCTCTACCTTGGGTGGCCGCCTGGAGGCCCCTGAGCAGCGAGCGGCGTTGGAGCAAAAGGCGCCAGGGGGAGCCCTGGGCCCCGGGTGTGAGGCCCGCGGGCAGGTGTAGGCCAGACTGACCGCTGGGGGTGCGCGGTAAGCGGAGCTGGTCTCACTGGGGGGCGGGGGGGGGGTGTTGTAGAACCAACAGCAACCCCCTCCCCGCCCCAGAGCCAGAGGAAAGCCATCTTAACAGGTGGAGAGCGGCCCACACAAGGTGACTTCCTTCTGGAAATTACCTGTGACATCTAAAAGCCAAGCGTTCCCTTTTCTAACCCAAACACTTGCTGGGTGATTGAGAATCTGAAGGGCCTTTGAAGTCGGTTTAAGCTACTTTAGCCACCCAACTTTGCTGAAAACATAAAAAAAAAAAGGCTGTCTTGGGGCTGGCTCTCCTCCAGGAATCTCTAGGGCCCCGGGGCTGCGCCCCCATCCGCCGTGGAAGAACAAGGACGGGCCCAAGGGAGTTAAAATCTGACCTTTGCCCCCAACACGCACAACTCAACCTGCGACCAGGCCTGGCCGAAAGCCCTGGGGAGGGGATGGGCCCACCCCACCAGGACCACCTAGGGCTTCCGGAACTCTGCCCCTCGGGGGGTTCAGCTTCACAGGTCTCTGTCAGCTGCAAAGGGGGTCGGTCCGTTCCTGGAAGCCCCTCGGGCCAACTCTGCGCCAGGAGCGCTGGGGATCTGCAGTCTCCCTGCACCCAAGGATACCTGAGCTAGTCTGCTTGAAACAGGCAAAAGTTGATTTTTAATTATTTTTTGAATCCTCCTCCTCCGCCTCCGCTGGTAGGCAGTCCTTCTATCTCCTAGAGCAGCAGCATCACCTCGTAAGCTCCTCGATGTCTCAGAACACATCACCTGAACGTCTTCTCAGTGGGAAACCACGAAGTGTTGGGGAGGGGATTGCGGGGAAACCCAAGTGGGGAACTAATAAAACTCTTGTTAGAGGGCCTGCTCGGGATCCGTGGCGTCACTGGGCCTTTTGCTCGGAAAGCCAAAGAGTTGTATTCCTAAATGAGTTAAAGACCCATTTACCTCTGTCGTGTTCTATTCATCAAGCCCCAAGTTGAGAGTTCCTAACATGAAACTATTTGTTTGCTTACACAACCAGCTGGGCGCAATTTCACGTCTGAGATATCTATCTGAAAGCGCCCCTCATTTATTATCTCTCCTTGTCAGCGAATCCATTTTCCAGCTCCCCCTCCCCCCTTTGGACTTTATTTATTTATTTAGGGGGTTGTGGGGGGGGACTCCTTTGCCTGGGAGGACCTGGGTCTGGAAGGCTCCCAGGGGAGTGGCCGCTCCTACCCGGTTTCTGCGTGGACCAGGATCCAGGGAAGGCGCGCTCGCCGCCACCGCTGACCCCGGCGGCCGGCGGGTGGGCCCGCCCGGAGACGACAGAGCTGCCTTTCTGCCTGGATGTCCTCCCCGCTAGCTCGTCCCAGAGTCAGCCACAACCACCTGTGCGAGGCAGGGGTGGGCGGAGGCCGGCCCGGGGAGTTCACGAGCCTCTTTCCCGGAGTGGGGGGCCCGAGACACGAGATACGATCCGGATTTGAGAGATGCTTTACTCAAAGCCTCACCTAGTCCCGTGGGGCCAATTTCTTCTCCGGGGGGCCCGGAGCGCAGAGTGAGTAACCAAGATGTAAATAGTTGTGTGATGGGCTGGGGGAGGAGGTGCGGGGTGGGGTGGGGTGGGGGGGCAGCAGCGCATTTATTGTGTGTACTGAGGGAAGAAGGCTGCACGTGGTTTCAA